CTAATATTACCAAAAATTGAACAGTAAAAGACAGAATTGATTGTCCATCCAGAGTTTGCACACAGGAATTTTATAAACATCATATGGCACTTGGTACATACAGTGGATCAGATAATGGCTAAATGCAATTTTCACTCAGAACCTGTAAAATTCACTTGCTTGCTTTTTTCCTTTTTCCTTCAACTTCCATCTTATAAGGTAATCTTAAAACAGTTTTCTACTATGCTCCAGGGTTTATACTACAAAACTTAAAAATATCCTGTCTGAAAACTATTATCTTCTAAGAAATTGCCAACAAGGTGTACTGACAGCCTCCCAGAACTGAGAAAAAATGAATCCTAGAAGACATGTGTAATATAAAAGCCTTAAAGAATGAGGATTTAAGACTCCAGGAGTAAATAATTTGACTACACATTTTTAGGACACTGTAAGGACAAAAACAACAGCAAAACCCTTAAACTTCATTTAATAAGTTTTTGAGGTAACAAATAACTAATTACATTAATTTTGTTTGGAATAAAGACTTTATGCCTAAGAGCAAGAAGAGAGAGAAACAATAAAATCAAAATGTTTTAATTGGGAACCGTAAGGTTTGAAATGAATTAGAAACGGCAGTAGGAACTCATTCTTCTTAAAAGAAAGAAGCAAGTTCGTTTTCCAATTTTGTTGCTAATATGAGTCAAAAACAAAAGGTCTGACGAAACACTGAATTTAATGTGTGAACTTAACGTTGAGATCATGATTTCTAGTGCCAGCCTTCCGGGACATCCTGGAGAAATGGCCATTTTAAAAAGCCATTAGCAGCCTATAGCAATCTGGTGTACAACACACATGAAATAAGTGAGATTAAATGGGGCCGTGTCTGAAGAACACTGGTCGATGCGGGTAAGTTTGAGCAATAAACACAACAATTATTGTAGTTGACAGAATCTACAAAAAACTGAGTCTACAGTGATACAAAGGAGAAAGTTTCGCACAAAGTTTTGTAAAGTTAACAACTGAACAGAACACATTGCTTTTGAATCTTTTAATCAAATATGCTATTTTGACTCGTTTACTATCAGTAAAAAATGCAGACTTTAGTGAACATTAAATACACAGAGAGCACTTCCTAGCTCAAGGGAGGATGCTACCAAAATGATCCCGTAAATTGTGAGCACAAACCGGACCAAGTCGTTTAGGACAGCCAAATTCCAGTTAGATGCATTCAAATACTCATGAGCATTCTGCGGTCCAGAATCTGAGAGAATTGTAAGCTATCATTAAGCTCAAAGATGTCTCAACCCAGTCTGAAAGACATTTACGTGTCTTAAAATCCTGTCCAGTTACAAGGTATTCAGAGAAATAGAAGATACATCTACGCATCTTCAAAGTCACACACAGTAGCGCCCACGCTACGTGCAGAGGCAGAACCGGGCGGAGCGTCACGCGACCCACGGTCCCGCGGGGTCCGCTGCGACGCTTTCTGTAGGTCGGAGAGAAAAGCAGCAGCTCTACGTGGACCTCTCCCGCACGGCTGCAAGTCCATGTTGTCCTGCTAGGTATCAAACTCAGACTAAAGCGTGTCATTCGTCTACACTTTCATGCTTTGTTCCAACCACGGCAGAAGCGGATTTCTCACGTTTGTGACTGTAAACACAGCACACCCACGGCCGCAGCTCCGCTCCTGCGCACTTCCGGTCCGACACGGGGCTGCAACCCGAGCTCCCCCGAGCAGCCCCGCCCCGGCGGCCCGGTGCGCACGCGCAGACGCGGCCGACGCCCTGGCGGCGCCCCCGTGCTGCGCGCGTTCGCTGCGGCGCCGCGACGCCCGCCGAGCCGCGCGCCCTTGAAAGTCTTCCGAGGGGCTGGGGCTTTAGCTCAGCGGCACAGCGCCTGCCTGGCAAGCGCAAGGTTGTGAGTTCGGTTCCCGGTACCGGAAAAAAACAAAATAAAACAAAAAACAAAACAAAACAAAGTCTTCCGAAAGGTTCCGCGGTGACCCCGGACTTTGCAGAGCAGTCGCTGCGGACCCGAAGGGGAGCGGCGCCCGCGGTGGTCGGTGCACGTGGCTCCCGCCCCCGCCCGGCTCCTCCCGCCGGTGCTGGCTCCCGCTGGGGGACCGTTGGCGCTGCTATCCGGGGTCGGGTGCCCGCTCGCGGTGAGCGCGCCGCGTGCCTGCGCCGAGGCCCCGCCCCCCGCCCCCGTGACCCCCTGACCCCTCTGCCTCCTCTAACCCCTCTGACCCCTCTGACCCCGCTTTTGGGCTTAGCCTTGGAGGACTCGCAAAGCCTTCCTAGGTTTGATCGGACGCGCCAGTACTGCAGTGAGGTTTTGCATCAGGTCCTCGAACGTGTGAGGCCGGAGACATGCTCAGACTTCAAAGTGTAGCGCGCAGAGAGAGGAATGAGATCTGCCCTGCAAGATGCTTTTAAACTAAGATTCCCTAACAAGTTTGTCTGTGCTACTGGTGGTGGAAAGCCATGCACATTGATTTTTTTATGAATGCCACAAATAATAATTAGCATTTAATGTTATCGCCTGTAAATTCTTTTTTTTCTTGTTTTTGTTTTGTTTTCCGGTACGGGGAATTGAACTCACGACCTTGCGCTTGCTAAGCAGGCACTGTGCCTCTGAGCTAAATCTCCAACCCCTATCGCCTGTAAATTCTGCTCAATAAAGTTTGAATCTCTGTTAACCCACCCCACAATCCTGAGGTGGGCATGTTTACCTCATTTTGCAGATGAGAAGACTGAGGCGGCCGGTGAGGAACCGAGGCTGTCTGGCCCGCCCCTGCCACCAGGCTCATGTTCAGGAACTTTTATTTCCGAGAACAAGTATTGTGCAGTGCATATATTCGTCGTACCAAAATCAGGATTGAAATTTAAATCTAAGCGGTAACATAATATGAATTTTTGTGTTACAGGGAATAAAATACCAAAGAGCAATAAAAAGATCTATTTTGCAATATAGATTTTGTTGTTGTTGTTGTTTCCGGTATTGGGAATCGAACTCACGACCTTCCGCTTGCTAAGCAGGTGAAGTGCCACTGAGCTAAATCCCCAGCCCCTGCAATATAGATTTATAACAATATAATTTTTATACCTTAAAATTTTTCTCTACTCATCATCCTTTTATAATTCGGGTCCAACACAAATGCACAGAACTGTATTTCTACTAAAATATAATATACTTTACTTGTTTTTACCTTTTGAGACAAGGTCTCACAGTTTTGCTTAGGTTGGTCTTGAACTTGTGGGCTGAAGCCTTCCTCCTGCCTCAGCCTCTCAAGGAGCAGAGCTTATAGGTCTATACCAACACACTTAGCTATGGGTTACCTTTTTCCTTTTTTTTTTTTTTTTTTTGTTGTTGTTGTTGTTAATCTGGAAAAAACTTCACGACTTTTATTTCAAAATAAGTTCATTTTAATATTAGTAATTATCCTATTTTCTTACATGAAAAGTTTGAAGCTCAAATAGGTTGCATATACAGAAGATGACATACTAAGCCACAGAACATCAAATAGAAATCCTCTTTGAGGACTAGATGGACTTCAAATTGCTAATGGAAATACTCATGTTGATTAACTTACCTTTCAGAACCAATACACTTCAGAGCACATAATTGATATAAAAAAGTTACATATCACCTATGTTCATTTGATTTAAAATAGAGATCTTAACAATTTTGTGGGTTTTTTTTTAAATAGGGTAATATTGTTAGTCTTTTATCCAAAGATATGCTACAAAATTGATTTTTATTATAAATATTAGAAAGGATGAATTTATGGTTTGGTGACTAGACCCCAAATTTAATCTCAACATCTTGTTTTCTAGCATATATATGATTCTAAGATATATATGTACATAGTGATTCTGTTCCATTTTTATTTCTTCAGAATTTTTCTCTTTTACAACTACCCCATATTTGTTATTATTTGAAGCTCTGATCATCACCTCAATGCTTTTGGTTTTGTTCTTTTTTTTCTTTTTTTTTTTCTCCCACAGCTGTGCTTCAAGACTTCCGAGATTCATTTGTCTACAATCTCTCTTGCAAGTGAGGCCACGGGGTGGTCTGACTTGCCTTGGAGAGGAAGGACTTTTAGGAAACCAATATATTGATTTTAAAAAGTCTTATCAATTTGCTGTATAAACAAACTAGGAAGTCATGGAATTTTCCCTTCCTCTGATGCACTTTGGTGGTGTGCGTTTCCACCTTCATCACTGATTCTATTTGGATTGGTTACTTTAGGGTTTCAATTTTTTTATTTTAAAGAGAAAAAATAATAAAACAATGATACAGAATTTCAAAACAAGATAACAGGAGATTAACAGTGTTAGTATATTGCATATTGTTATCTTCAAAGTAGTTGCTCAGATTACAAAATATAAGCGTGAAGACTTGATCAAACAATATAAGCACAAACCGTTCTCTTCAGTGAACTAATAGAAATCTATCTTGTGAGGTTTCGGGTTTTAATTCATATGAATCTTGAACCTAATTATCCTAGTAATTGATTCAACAAATGCCTGCGATTGTAGCTCAGCTCTTGCAGCCAGTAACTGCTGGACGTGATCTCACACAGCTGAAGAACGACACTAAAATCGTTATAGTCTGCAAACTGTGCCACAATTTCGTTGCACTTTTGTGGCCTCTTCAGTCTAAGCCCTGATTATGTTCATCGGGTGAGACTTGAAAGAAACAATTTATTATGATTAAAGGAATAGTGTGAGGGGGAATCCTGGGGCAGCTCAGCGCTGTCCGGGCGCTGAGAGGTTGGTCGAGAACGAGCTCCAGAGCAGTGTGAAATTCCTCCTCTGAAAGGCGTCGGCGTGGGTCCCTCCGCTTTTCCTCGGTCTGATAACCCTCTGAGTGACGGCGCAGATGTAGCTCATTTGGAGGAAACGGGGAAGAGGAGAAAAGGGCTGGAAGGAAGAAGCGGTGATGAGGCACGCCTGCGAAACCCCCGAGGCCTTTGCCTCTCCCGGCCTCTCCAGGCCGCAGCGCCCTCGGGGAGGGCGATGCCTTCGCCTCTGGCCCTGTACCGCCTCCTGCCTAGGGAGCTGTCCCCGTGGCTGGACTCTCGGCCCTGCAGCAGCCCCTCTGAGCTCCCGGGCAAGGCAGGGAATCTCTTCCTGGGGGCCACTCCTCCCCGGGCCCCGCGGCTGCCACGCCGGCTGGCCTGGTGCGCCATCGACTGGGAGCAGGTCCGCTTGCAGCGCAGGCTGGGGGCCGGAGGCTTTGGCTCGGTGTATAAGGCGACGTACCGCGGGGTCCCTGTGGCCATAAAGCAAGTGCACAGGTGCACCAAGAACCCCCGCGCGTCCCAGCGGAGCTTCTGGGCTGAGCTCCACGTCGCCCGGCTGCGTCACAGCAACATAGTGGGCGTCGTGGCCGCCAGCACGCGGACGCCCGCGGGCTCCGAGAGTCTGGGTGCCATCATCATGGAGTTTGGGGGCAACATCACTTTGCACCAAGTCATCTACGGCAGCGCCCGCCGCCCGGAGGGGAAGGCAGGGCAGCCTCCCCGAGGTGAAGGGAGGCCGCTGGGTCTGGGGCAGTGTCTGAAGTACTCCCTGGATGTTGTGAGCGGCCTGCTGTTCCTTCACTCGCACAGCGTCGTGCACCTGGACCTGAAGCCCGCGAACATTTTGATCAGTGAGCAGGATGTGTGTAAAATCGGTGACTTTGGTTGCTCCGAGAACCTAGAAGATCTGCGATGCTTCCAGACCCCTCCTTACCTCCTAGGAGGCACGTACACCCACCAAGCCCCGGAGCTCCTCAAAGGAGAGCCCATCACGGCCAAAGCGGACATCTACTCCTTCGCCATCACCCTCTGGCAAATGACCACCCGGAGCGTGCCCTACGCCGGCGAGCGGCAGCACGTGCTCTACGCTGTAGTGGCTCACGATCTGCGGCCATCCCTGGCAGCGGCCGTCTTCACGGACTCTGTCCTTGGGCAAAGGCTGCAGAGGGTCATCGAGCGCTGCTGGAGGGCCCAGGCTGCGCAGAGGCCCAGCGCGGAGCCCCTCCTGGAGGACCTGAGCTCCCTAAAAGAGCTCACTGCGGTGGACTCCCAACCTGTACCCAGATAGCCTTCGTCTTTGTTTCTATTTGTTTTTAAAGAAGTGGAGATGTAGAAGAAAACATATTTGCAGAATTGTTAGAAAATAAAGTTGCTCAAAGCTCCTTTGCTTGCAAATGCTTTTTTAAAGAAAGACAGCAGAGCGGTAAGTCTTGTAATTGTTGTAGTGCTGTTAGTGACCCACTATTCCGTGGTGTGGTTTTATGCTTTTTCGGAGCCTGTGTGCTGATTTTAACAGTTCCACAGAATTGCATTTGTTCAAACTTATTATCAATAAGAACAATTTGCCCAAAACAGAATGCCTTGAAGAAATGCTAGAACTGTCTATACATTTGCATATGTCCTGCCCCTACCACCTAAATTCAAATCAGTAACTGTTTACTTGAGCCAGTTCTAAATCCACAAAAACTTTAAAACAAATTAGGTTCTTTTTCCCTATTCCTTCCCCTATGAAAATTTCTTTTGGGAATGACCTTCACACATAAAATTCAAAAATTGAGCTAAATTGGTTGTTAAAGAAATACCTTAAATGCCTTGTACCATTTTAAATGTGTGTGTTGTCGTGAGTGGAAAATTTCTGCTAAAATACTTAGGGGTTGCTTTATGTGTTGCAGTGCTGGGGGTCAAACCCAGGGCCTTCTCCCTGGACTACATCATCACCCCTATTTATTTCACTTGGAAACGGTGTCAGTCATTAAGTTGTTCAGGCTGGTCTCAGATTTGTAACAGTCCCGCCTCAGCATCCGAGAGTACTGGGATTACAGGCAGGAGCTACCGACCCAGCTGCTAAAATATTTCTAAACTGGCTATCTTTTACCCTTTTCTGGGGGCTCACAAATAGATGACAAAATAAGAATGATATGAAATAAGAATGATATGACTTGAGGAAAAAATGGTAACACTGAGGAATAGTAAAATTTACATTTGACAAAGGGCAGCAGATAGGTGGAACCAGAGTACTTCTCCTAAATATCAAGAAAAATGGGTGCTGTACATAGGCGTTAGAGAAAGCAATGGCCGGCTCTTGGTGGTGGGACAACTTTAACTTTCTTTTGTGACAGCAGGGTCAGAGCATGGCGGGAGGCCAGGTGAGGCCAGCGCAGCGCCCAGGAGAGCTCGTGGTGAGGGCGTCCCATGGAAGCTGCATGTGAGTGACTACAGGGAGGGGCAGAAATCATCAAACAAGGCAAGAGACACAGAAGTGTCTGCATGTGTGGTGTGAGGGTGAAGGAAGGAAGTCCATTTGTGTAAAAAAGCAGAGAAGACGGAGATAATTATTAGTGTCTGAAAGGGAAGAGGGGAAAGGTAGCAGTAATGGAAAGACTGTAGTCTTGAAGAGGAAGAGCATCTCTTCCCAGATGGGAACCAAGGAGGGCGGCGCTGCTCGTGATAGGTAAGTTCACGGTAGGGAAGGGAGGTGCGGAGCCACATCTAGGGACCTCCGCTTTCTGAGCAGCATGGTTGAGGTAGGGGTGTACAGAGTGAAAGGTGCTTTAGAACTGTTCCTGAGGGAAGAGAGGGAGCTCTCTGTGGCCGGGTACCGCTGGCAGTGCTGTCAACACCGTCCTGTAACTTGAGGAACAAACCCTCCAGAGAGCAAGAAACACACTTCATCTGACTTACAGTGGTCTTTAAAAAATAATTATTTACTTTGTGATGCTGTAAAAGTAATCGGTATGCTGGAGAAACCATGCCTCGAATTTTGAATTTGGATCTTTTCCCCGGGTGGGGTGATGAGATCTGATCCCCGCTCTGTGAATGGCGGCAGCGGTGAGCTGCTCCCGCTTCAGCCTCAAGGTCAGGAGGGAAACAGCCAGTGCCTTGCTGTGTGCCGGGTTTTCTGGATAACGGTACTGCCAGCTCTTTACATCCGCGGGTTTCTATAATGGTGTATTCAACCAATAAAAAGCTTATTCAGGGAAAACACTGCATCTGCGCTACGTTTGTGCAGACTTCTGTTCTTGTGAGTGTCCCCTGCTCAGCACGGTACACCCACTACCTGCCCAGCCTTTGCTTTGTATCTGGTACTACATACAAGTAACGCACAGATAATTGAAGGAGCCCAGGAAGATGCGCATATGTTATACGCATACACTCTGCCATTTTCTATAGTGGACTTGAGCACCCTCAGATTCACATTTTGGTATCTGCACAGAGTCTTGGGACCAATCCCATTCGGACACTAAAAGACAACTGTATTCAATAACTTATAAGGTAGTTAACACTATTATACATTAGGCTTGTGTTAGGTTAGATGTGTTTGCCCAACTACAAGCTAACGTAAGTGTTCTGAGCATGTGTCAGGTAGGCTAGGCGAAGCCAAGATGTTCAGTAGGTGAGTTGTATTAAGTGAGTTTCAGTATATTTCTGACCTATGTTGACCTTATCAGACCTAATGTCATTGTCAGTTGAGGAGCATCTGTAGTTTGTCCTCTGCTTGTTGCAGCAATAGTGAGATGAGATCTATATAATGTTGGTAAGTTTTAAATAAAAAAGCTTTAAAAATATGTAATTGGTCAGACAGGTTCCCTTAAGAGTGTGAAAATGATATTCAAGCTATGGTGAACACTTTATTAGCAGGTTGTCAGTGAGCTGCATAGCAATGTCCATTAAAGGCATGAAAATCCAGAACTGGATTCCAGAATAAATACAGTCATAGCCCAGGTTCAAGTATCTTCCCTTCTCCTGAAAACCACACTGAGTGACAAACTAAGCAAGGGAGAATAAAACCCGCGGACTCCATAATCAGAATGCAAATTCTAGAATATATAAAGTGATGCCTGCAGACTTACCAAGCTCACAGGAAGACAGCAGGGCATACATAGCTGGGGAAGCTTACGGGGGGCCCAGGGACCCATCACCTGCAGGTCTCAGAGAGACCTGCAGAAACAGATACCCTGGAGAGCAGGAGCCCCCGGGAAGGACGAAAATTGGAGGGAAACACTCCTGAGAACGGGGCTGAGATCATACAGAGCTGAGCTTCCCAGAAGGGACAGAGAGAGATGAAAAGGAACTGCTCCAGGGGGTCCAAAGGGCAGCAAAACTCAGCTCCAGAACATGAGGAGGTCACCCTGGGGCAGGTCAGGGTACAAGAGAGGCTTAGACGCCTCCTGAGCTCAGGTTGAGTTAGGGAGAAGTTGTGGCTATAAGCAGAAATACACAAAAATGCCATATTTGAAGGGAATTAACAGATGAAGGAAGTCTTTGAATTGTAGACAGACCACCCTGATAGGACAGAACAAAAATACATCAAATATCCCAAGTGTAAAAAGAGATGAAATTGAAATTTCAACAAAATTAGAAAAGAAAATGTCCATTTATTAGGAAATTTTAGAGCTCTTGAGTAACTGTAGTATGTATCCAAAGAAAATACTCATCAAAACTGAAGCACTTCTTAACAAGAATAATGAAAGCATGTATACTATCATTACCAAGGGGATAAAAATAAAGGAGATGAACAGTTAGTCTCAAGTGGTAGTAATATGAATTTTTTTTAAATAACAAAAACAAATTTGGCATATTCATGGAAGTAGGGAAAGAACAAAAATATAAGCTAGGGGAAATTTTAGAACAGGCACTAAAACAGACGTAATGTGTTAACAGAGGTAGAATATGCTGGACATGGTGCCGGATGCCTGCAATCCCAGCTATTTTGAGGCTGAGGCAGGAGGCTGACATAGTCTAAGCCAGCCTGGACAACTTAGCAAGAAATAAAAAAGGGCTAAGAACATGGCTCAGTAGTAGAACATCATGGGGTTGTCTGCATTCATACACACACACACACACACACACACACACACACACACACAAACACATACATTAATGAAAGGATAAATGAAATAGTTTGTTAAATATCAACAAAACAAACTACTAGCTAACTTCTAGGAATTTAAATCATACGTACATAAAATTAGAAATAGAATGATGATGAAAACAGAGTAACTTTCCTTCTATTTTAGAAGAAAACTTTGCATAACTGTAGAAGTAAATTTGGACACCCAGTCTGGTGAGCAGAGGAGCTAGCAGGAAGGGTCTCCCACTGGACAGACCTGAGCAAACTCAAGCATTATAGCAGTCAGAGCAAGTAAGTTAGGAACAAATAGTCATAGTGAATGAAATGGAAATTAATACTGATAAAAATAACTACACAGATAAGAGGGGAGAAAGGAAAACTTAACTTTACGATAGAATACCTGCTAGCATTGTTAATAATTACAAAACACCTATTCATTGTCCTCACAGTGGAAAAGTCCCGCCAATATTATCTTACAAGTGATATAGATGGATAATGGATAGATAATTTAGTCAGTTTAATATTATCAGCAGCAGGACAAATGGGCATCACATGCCCCTGGGTAGGATGTCCCATGCAGTCTAAGGGAACAGTGCCACTTCTCTGGGAGGTCTTTGAAGTGGAAAATCTGTATCAAATCATGAGGAAACAATATTGCAACCCAAACTGGCCTCTGCACTTCAAAACTATCAAGGTCATAAAAGGCAAGGAAAAACTGAACGACTGTGTTATTTGATGTCATTATAGTTTTTGTTTATTTTTCCAGTACCGGGAATCGAACTCACAACCTTGCACTTGCCAGGCAGGCGCTGTGCCTCTGAGCTAAATCCCCAACCCTGATGTCGTTAGAGTTAACAAGAATAAATTGATGTCACCTTTAACAATGGGAGGATCTTTGTTGAACAAAGAAAAATTTGGAGACCTTTGTCTAACTCTTGCAACTTTTCTCTAAGTTTAAATTATTTCAAGCTACAAAATTAAAACAAAGTAGGCAAGGCTGGGTTCAGCAGCACACGCGTGTAATTACAGCACTTGGGAGGCTGAGGCAGGAGGATCACTGTGAGTTTGAGGCCAGCTTGGGCTACAGAGGGAGTTGAAGTCCAGCCTGAACTTCATAGCAAAACCCTGTCTCAAAAAAAAAAAACACCAAAAAAAAGTAGGTAAAGCCTCATAAAAAATGTATAGAGACTTGGGGGGGGGACTTTAAATCTTTAAAACACTCTTACAAAGTATAAGAGAGACCTGAAGCAAATGAAAACTCTATATTTTTAAATATTCTC